TACTAGAATCATATTTCCTGTTGAATTATGCTGAACATAAACACCATACTCCATCTCACACTTCTGAAACCTCTGTTCCTTGAAAAATGAATCAATCTTCAGATTCTAGGCTCTGGGTGCTTTCTTTAATCCATACAAGGCTTCATGTAATCTAAACACCACCCCTTCTTGATTCTTTTTCTTAAATCTAGGAGGTTGTGACACGTATACCTCTTTTTGTAATGAACCATTCAGAAATGCAGATTTCACATCTAAATGCATCAGAGGTCAATTTATGTTAGCAACTGTAATACGATGAGAGAACTGACTTTTGGTTTTGCGTTTTATCGCAAATATTGCGGATAGCAAGAATCCCCATCGACTTTTCTTTTATCCAATAAAGGAAAGGGTGAAAAGAACAGGAAAGACCTTTTGAGAATTTTCTGAGTAAGGGTGGTAGGTTATGAAAAGGGAAGGTATTAACACCCTTTTCATCCGTAGTTATCTACGGGCTCTTAACTGCTAGCTCACTTTGAAAATTCCTTGTGAATGTGTAAGTTTTGAAAATATTTTGAAAAATGCCTAAGTGCGGAAAACTTTGTAATGATTCTCGTATCGTTGAGAATGCATATAAAGTGTTTGTCTTTGAAAATATTTTTAGAAAAGAGTGTATGTGTGAGAAATGTTTTTGTTTATGAGCAAGCGACTACGAACTATCTACCTACTAAAAAAGTCTTTGTTCTTTTACTCCTTTCCTTTAGATAGTGTTATCCTACCATTAGTTAGTAGGAAGCTCTATCATTGGATGTTTGAGGGACAGACATGGGTCATCGTATACTCACAAAGGCAACTTGTAGGATGCTTTAGCAATTGTCGTAAGGGACTAAGATCGTTTACCAAGGTAGCATCGAAGAGTCATCGAGAGACTATGGTCTGTTTTAACCGAAGGGTCTTTGCTAAAGCATCCCGCGTTTGAGGAACATGACTGTTTTTTATCTGAGGCAACGAGTGAGGGTCACCCTAGATGGCTTGGTCACCCTACGATCTATAATTTTCAAACAAAATAAATACTCATAAGATTATCAATAAAGACTTCTCACAATTGAAGATGGCTTTGTCAAATTATTATTAATGATATGCCACCAATAACCATTTTACAACTTATGACCTGTCATTGTGTGGTTCTAGTTTCTATCACTCTCCTTATAACCTATACACTACTGATTAGTTGAAGCTCTCTTTTTCGTGTCGGTATCAGATACTTGCTCTGACACTTGTGATTACATTTAATTTATTTATTTATTACAGGTGTCGTGTCAATGTTGGGGTTAGTTTTAGAGTTTCCGTGCTTTATAGTGAGCTAACTACTTTTAAGGTGCAGTCAACTCCAATTCACTACATGATCAAATTGCATACTCCAACATGTATTTTAAAATTGAAGAATAAAAAGCAAGAAACCTTGAGAGAGGCCTTAAATCAAACAAGTTGAAAGCAATTTCATTATATAGCAACACCAATTTCCAATATCAAACTCCTAAAGAACCTAATATATGGATTCTTCATAAACCTCATACATCTAAAATTAAAGTGAAATCAAGAGTAACAATTTACTTCAAAAAGAGTCCCGAGCAGAGATATCACCAACAATTGAAGCAGAAAGTAAAATTGAGTCAGTGAAAAATAAGAAAAAATTGAAATCAAGATCGAAGGTGAGTTTAAATGAGAGGTGTTTTGTGAAATTGATTTGGAATTTAGAGTTCACGAAATCTGAATGTAGCAATAAAATCTTTATTTTAATCAGATTTGATAAAACATTTTTTTTTAGATTGGAAATTGTAATAAGAGTTTATAACAATTTGAACCGGTTTTTATATTCAATTAGATTAACTGAATTGGTTAAAATAAAAAATTCAATTTATTAACCATTTAAAAGGTTTAAATTTTTATGGTTCAATTCAATTCAGATTAAGTATTTGATCCAATTAACTAAATTTTTGAACACCCCTAGATAGGTTCAATGTCAGAAAAATTGAAACGTGTGAAGTTTTTCATCCTGAATCATGGAGCGTGTTCCTTGTTTTAGACATGGCTTGGAGGGATAATATAATTAATCTTATGATTCTAAATTCTTGTAGACATGATTAGTGATAATTGCAAGATTTGTAGAACTATTCTCATGTTGGTTCGTATTCAAAAGTTGTTGAACTTGAATCCAAAGCAACCAAGTACTTGGCACATGAGGGCAATAAGAGTACGGATTGGTTTCAAAAGTCTTTTGTTTCACTGGATTCTATGAATTTTTATGTTTTGGAAACTCCACTTTGTGAGCTTCAGAAGTTTTTAGCTTGATGACATGATGAAATATAGACTCCGACACGAATACCGCGATATGACATGGACACAAATTCTTCGACACCAATATATCAAAAATTTAGGATACTAACGCATGCATGCATGCATGCATGCATACATACATACATACATACATACATACATACATACATACATACATACATACATACATACATACATACATACATACATACATACATACATACATACATACATACATACATACATACATACATACATACATACATACATACATACATACATACATACATACATACATACATACATACATACATACATACATACATACATACATACATACATACATACATACATACATACATACATACATACATACATACATACATACATACATACATACATACATACATACATACATACATACATACATACATACATACATACATACATACATACATACATACATACATACATACATACATACATACATACATACATACATACATACATACATACATACATACATACATACATACATACATACATACATACATACATACATACATACATACATACATACATACATACATACATACATACATACATACATACATACATACATACATACATACATACATACATACATACATACATACATACATACATACATACATACATACATACATACATACATACATACATACATACATACATACATACATACATACATACATACATACATACATACATACATACATACATACATACATACATACATACATACATACATACATACATACATACATACATACATACATACATACATACATACATACATACATACATACATACATACATACATACATACATACATACATACATACATACATACATACATACATACATATTTGAGTTTTATTATTTCATCTACTATTAAAAGAGTTATTATTTCATCTACTATTAAAAGAGTTCAAAATATTCTAATCAAAATTAATATTTTTAATTCTTTATTGATAACATTGCTTCAATACATGTTTAACTCTTTTAATCATGCAAGAATTTGTCTAGAAAATGTATAAAGTATGGTGAGGAAAAGAAAAACACAATTTTTTTTAAAGAAAACTTGTCTGAATTATTGGACATGTGTTGTATGAGTGTCATCTGGGTATCGGACACCGATTTAAAATGTGTCAAAGCAAAAAAAAATCAATTTTTTTAGGACACTTGTCCGACTTTTCCGACATTTGTTTGACTTTTCCGACACGGTTTACATCAAGGGTCAACCCTAAACCCCTACCTTTTTACCTTAATTTTGGATGTACTTACGGAACAAATCCAAGAGATAGCTTTGAGATGCATGTTTTTTGCAGATGATATAATCCACCTTGGAGAGTCGAAGGAGGAGTTAAATGAGAGGTTGGAGACTTGGAGAAGAGCTTTAAAAACACATGATTTTCGCCTAAGCAGAAGTAAGTCAGAGTATATGGAATGTAAGTTCAACAAAAGAAGCAGGGTTTCTAACTTAGAGGTGAAAGTAGGAGACTATATTATCCCTCAAGTCACACGGTTTAAATATCTTGGGTCCGTAATACATAACGATTGAGAAATAGAAGGGGATGTAAATCATCGTATTCAAGCTGGATGGATGAAATGGAGAAAGACATCGGGTGTTTTATGTGATGCAAAGGTACCGCTCAAGCTAAAGGGAAAGTTTTATCGGACTGCAGTAAGACCTGCGATTTTGTACGAGATAAAATATTGGACGGTTAAAAACCAACACGAGAATAAAGTAGGTGTAGCAGAGATAAGGATGTTGCAGTGGATGTGTGGTAAGACTCGACAGGATAAAATTAGAAATGAAATTATTAGAGAGAGTGTTGAAGTAGCGCCTATTATAGAGAAGATGGTGGAAAATAGACTTAGGTGGTTTGGACATGTAGAGAGAAGACCTGTAGACTCTGTAGTAAGGAGAGTAGGTCAGATGGAGAGAAGACAAACAATTAGAGGAAGACCCAAAAAGACTATAAGAGAAGTTATCAAGAAGGATCTCGAAATTAATGATTTGGATAGAAGCATGGTCATTGATAAAATATGGCGAAATTTGATCTATGTAGCCGACCCCGTCTAATGGGTTAAGGCGTAGTTGTTGTTGTTTGACTTTTCCAACACGTGTCATACAAGTGTCGGACATTGACACGTGTCGAATACCGCGACACGTCTACTTCTAGAGGTGTCCGTGCTTCATGACATCTTCTGTCCTGCTAATTTCTTTATTTCTCAGTTTCTGTGTTGAGCTTTTCCTTGTATCAACAAAAAAAAGAACAGGGCCTAACTATTTGAAAAATGAAGTGCACCAATACTCGAGTAAACATATGACAGAGTGAGCAACAAATAACTAGTCTGCTTATGGAAATGTTTTCGATATAACAAATAACAAATTTAAGCCTCTGAGCAATTTTATAAAACTAAAACCAGAAAAGAAAGAATATGGAGCCAAGAAATGGAGATAACACCCTGTTAATTTTATCATAAGTTTTCATTCTTTCCAACTAGACATTTACTTAGTATAAGAAACAAAGAGAATCGTGTCTAAAGATAGTTACTCTTGAATATGTACCCTAAAAAAGTAGTATATTTAGCAGACTTCTATTACCACATTTCTTCACATTATGTTAAGTACCAAAAAACTATTTGCCTTTATGTGCTTTTAGCTCAAGAATCCGATTGCGAATTTTGTCGAGCAGATCCTCAGATTCTAGACTCTTGTTATCTGAAATGCATTGTAGAACAGTTTCCAGACTAGTAATTTCCTGATCTCTGACGTTATCCTGAATTCAAGTTCACAGCACTTTATTTATGACTATCATGCAGGGGTTTATGTATGCAAATGGAATGTTTAATAAATTAGAGTTTTAATAAGACAAATAAAAGAACCTTGATTTCAATGGAGTTGGTTTTTTCACAACTGCTCTCACAAATTAGTTTTGCATTCCGGACGTGTTCCCGCAACATATTAACTAATTGATTCTTGTCAGCCAATTTATATGCACAACTGAATCTAGCAGCTACAACAAATTGCTTCCTCCTGATAAGATTTTCAACAAAGTCTGCAAAGTACAGGAAATTACACTTACACTTCATCAAAACTTATCAGAACAGACATAAAATAAGTTCTCACAAAGAAAAAAACTAGGCAAATTGGACTGAATATTTCAAAATGTGTCAGTAGATAGAATGGCGAAAAGTAACAAAACATATGAACACATTGTACAATCATATGATATGATATGATATAACTTACCAAAGCATATAAAGATAAAAGGACATATATTGGTGGTGACTAACCAAATAATTTCTAAATTAACATACCATAAACTTTATTTGCAAAACCCAGAGTCTCAAACAGCTTCATAGCTATCTTGTGATGAGCAACAAATGCAAAGAGCTCCAAAACTTCATGTTCATTGAAAAAAGCAAGCAATCCATAAATTGATAAAATCAGTAGAAACCCAAGAATCACCAAAGAATTTTCCGTATTTCCTTTCATGTTAGCTTTCAAATCAAGCACTAGCTTCAATGCTTCTTCTCTAACACAAGCTTTAACATCTGGTGAGATTTTCATCAGTTGCTCTAGCAAACAGATGCAGCTGTCATCAATAATCACATCATTATCTCCCTCTCTACACCGTGGAACATTAGGGTTCTGTAATATATTCAAAACAGTTCTTGACGGATCTGATAACTCTTGCAGATAAACTAAAATGTCATTGCAAAGTGACTCAACTCCATCAGTTTTCTCATTTTTGTCCAACTGCAAGCCTGTTTCATCCATAGTAGGACTTAATTGATAATCCATGAAAGATACAGCTGCATATTTAGATAGAATAGCCAGATATTTAAGCTCCCTCATATTGATAGAAGCATTAGTAAATAAAGGTCACAATAGGCAGTTAAAAAACCCAATACACTATTAAAGAATGTAAAACACCTCCTACATTTAAATATAAGGGTGGAAAAGGAGAGCATTATAATAACATTTACAATCAATGTCAATATAGAACCTTAACTGAATCACTGGATATAATGTTGCACTAATATGTGCCCCTCATGGCTTGTCAGGATACTAAACCTTCATTTGACTCACAAGATTAACACTATTTACAATATACTTGAAAAATTAAAACTACATTAATATACTATATCTATCATTAATAATATTGTAATGAAACTTTAGCCATGGATAAAAACCCTAATGTTTTTTTGCATTTATGAGATTCATAAAATGTTCGAGGGGGAAAAACATAATCCAAATACAGTTTCACAGTGTGTGTATGATGTGAAAACTGGAGAAGCTTTTCAACTTGACTAAGCAGTAAGCATACAACATTAACATGATTAAAACTACTTTAAAGAGTTACATATACCAGGTTATTAAAAGTATTGACATCATTAAAACAAACAGTTGAAACTGGAAAATGAAATTCTTTCAACCAGCTAGATGAATTATAATATTTACCTGGTTCTTTTCCCCTATCAAAATGTTTTAACAAAGGTTCATGTTGTTTCTTTGTCAGCTCAGGCTCCTTAAGTTTTCCCCTAAATTTATTTAGCTTTGACTCAAGACCATTGACTTGTCCTTCAAATTTCTCCTTTGATTGAAATTCCTTGACTTGCCTTTCAAATTCTGCCTCTTTTAATTGAAGCGTCTTCATTTGTTTCTCGAATTGCTTTTCTTTGCATTCGAGCGCCTTCACCCGGCTCTTAAATTGCTTATTTTCTGATTCCAGATCCTTCACTTGTCCTTGTGTCTCTTTTGATTTAAGCTCCTCCACTTGGATTTCAAAATGCTTCTTTTTGGTTTCCAACTCCTTCATCCGGTCTTCAAAGTCCCTCTCTTTTGATTCATGTTCCTTTACTCGGTCTTCAAGTTGTTTCTCTTTAGATTCAAGCCCCTTGGTTCGATTATCATAATGCTTCTGTTTTGATACCAGTTCCTTTACCAACTCATTCAGGTTGACTTCAAATTCCTTCTTTTTGGATTCAAACTCCTTTAATTGTCCTACAAATTGGTTCTCTCTTGACTCTAACTCATTGACTTGTCTTTCAAAACGCGCCTTCTTAGATTCCAGTTCCTTCATTTGGCCTTCAAGCTCTCTCTCTTTTAATTCATGCTCCTTCAACTGGCTTTCAAGTTGCCTCTCTTTCGAGTCAAGCTCCTCTGTTCGGATTTCAAAATGCTTCTGTTTTGATACCAACTCCTTCTCTTGGCCTTCAAATTTCTCTTCCTTAGATACAACCTCTATCACCCACTCTTCAACTTTCATCTCTTTTGACTCTAGCTCCCTTGCTCTTCCTTCAACTTGCTTCTCTTTCGATGCAAGTTCCTTCCCCCAGTTTTCAAATTCCTTCTTTTCTGTTTCAAGCTCCTTCATACGACCTTCAAGTTCCTCAACCTTAGATTCAAACTGCTTCACATGTCCTTCAAACTGCTTTTCTCTTGATTCTAATGCCTTTACTCGTACGTCTAAGTGCCCCTCCTTTGACCGAAGCACCTCCACCCGTCTTTTACATTGCTGCTCTGTGGACTCAAGTTCCTTAACCTCATCTTCAAACCGCTTCTTCATTGACTCAAACTCCTTCATTTGAATTTGGCAATTATTCCTTACTGAAATTACCTTCAGTAACTTTTTCCTTTCAGACTCTAATATTTCCACTTGTTCGTCAGTCGATATTTTCATTGCATCAAGCTCCTTCTCTTTGGTCTCACGTTCCACAATACATTCAGCAATTTTTTGGGAAAGAGCCTCAAGTTCCTCTTTCTCCTGTCCACGGTCCTCATCAATGACTTGACGAATTTCTACTTCTTTTGAAATAATTTCCTTAGCTTGATGAAGTTCCGTCTCTTTCTTCTTGAGCTCTTGCTTGTGCTCTTCAATCACACACTCCATCAAATGAAGCTGTATTTCCTTCAGTACAAAATCATTGACACATTCTTCAATTTTCCCCTGCAGTTTGCTGTGAACTTCTTTAATTTTTCTAACACAACTAACTTGCACCTTCTTATTTCCAAGCTCTCTGCTACACTCCTCAATCTCTCTCTTTACAGACTCCAATCTCTTCTCTTCTTTCCTCCTCTTCCTTTTACATTCCTCAAATGATTTTTCAACAAACTCAAGTTCGTTCTTCAACGAGGAAAATGATCTATCAACTGATTTTCCCAGACTTTTAGCTCTATCCGACGACAGTTCACCATCTTCATCTTCATATTCATCACGATCATCACACAACGACACCTTTGATTTCTTAACAGAAATATGCAAGGAACCACTGTTATCAAACAGCCTCTTCTTAACAGAATCCTTAACTTCACCACTACATGTTCCCAAACTCGAAATCGGAGTAAACCTCGCCAGCAAAGTATCATCATCATCATCATTATTATCATCATTATCATCATTATCATCATCATTATCTTCAAAATCTTCAATACAAAAATCTTCACTAGAATCACATTCCTTCACATATGAACACAGCGTAGTTTTCGCACATAATGCGAGCGATTTATCATGTAAGTTTCCATCATCATAACTACCATCACAAATTTTCAGCTTATCAGATGCCTCAAAATCCATCACATTCAACTATAGAAGCCGGAAGAAAAAATTCCTGTGAAGAAAAAACAAATAAAAAACAAACAAAAGCTCAACAAACCTCGACAGAAAAAAATTCTAGGTCAAAATCAATCATCAAGACTCAACTAACACATTACAACAGTTCGAGAAGAAAACCTAATCAAACATAAACACGAAGAACAATGGCACTGTAAACATTTCAACATATAAATATAAACATTTATTAGATTTAATCTAACATTACATGGTGATGATTTGTTTAGAGAAAAGCATGAAAATGAAAATGAAAATGTAAAACAGAGAAATACATAGAAATCATGAAAAATGAAAAAGATGCTTACAAGTTTCTGAGAAGAAGATGGTTGCAAACTTGATGATATTTTTGTTACAGTGAAAGATGGAAATGGAAGATGAAGGTGAAGAGAGTAGAAGAAGTTTCTAGAATGTGATTTGCGTTTGGAGAGTGTTTGTGAGAATGAAAATTGAAGAAATGAAAAAGAAAGAAATGAGAACGAATGTTGCAATGCAGCAGTTAGTGGGCGGGGATGTGTGTTGTGTGAGTGGGGTCCACCAAAACATACTCTAAAATGGAAAATAACGTACTCACGAAGTTGACGCAATGAGGCCGTTCGGAAAAAGGACAAAGCTGCAGAGTAGTATGTATTATTGTTTACCATTACTATTATTATTATTAAAATGTAAAAACTTATATAAAAAAGACAGGAAAATTTCATGAGAGAATAGTAACATAAACATTTGTAGAAATATCACAGATGATGTATGACATGGTAGCTACAATCGGAGGATTGTGAAGGAAGAATTGGGGTCATCATCTTGCGATCAAATCAGTCGAACAGAGGGTTTGAGAAACGGTTTGGGTTCTCAACAAGGTAGCTACAATCAGAGGTTTATCAAAGATTGGTGACATACTTGATTCAAATCGAATCAAGGGAAGAGAGGTGCTTAGTTTTCAATTCAACAAATTGGGTTTGAATTGTGGTGGCTATTTTCTATCTCTTGTACAAACTTTGCAATCATAATAGAAATTATCTTAATTCTACATTCTAGAATTAGGGGCAGAGTACCCCATGCAAGGATGAGAGTGGGGACGGTAGAAATCGGATTTTTAAAAATGGCACAAAGGAAAAGTATCGGGACGAGTCGCGTACTAGGTCGTTTTCTTTAAGACGTTTCGTCGTACTGCCAATATTAATGCAAAGCAGTCGAGTTTCGACGACGCCTCCAGGATAAAACAGCTCGTTCAATTACGACAATTACTTGCACTATAATTAGTCGTTCGTAAAATGACACCTTCGGATGGTAATTAACCAGTCTTAGTATCTGGATACGAAGTGATCCAGTCGAAAATAAGAGAGAAGAAAATTATAGATGAAGTGAGTGATGAGAGAGAAGAAAGAAGAATTGTAGAAGTAAATTCTAGAACTGCCCAAATGAACCGAAACAACTTAATTTATAAGTGAAAATGTCCAACTGAATGGAACAGGTCTAGTGGGAGAAAATCGTGGGAGAGGTGGAATTGGCCTAGTCAATAATCAGTGAATAATTAGGTTAAGACTTGGTCTTTTGGAGGGCAAGCAAAAATCAGTCAATAATTAGGTTAAGACTTGGTCTTTTGTGCATGACACATCACCATCTATTAATTAATTAATAATAATATTAATATTAATTAATTTCCACTCTTTCGGGACTAAAATGAATATTTTCAAATTCACTTCCATGTAGTTCTTACTTGTGCTCATTTATTGTCCATTTAATGTCAATAAATTATTCCAACTCCCACTCCAGGTTTACATCATACCAAGATTTCCAACAATCCCCACTTGAATTTAAAAGGTGATTTTTAGAAGTACGTCAAACGTTTCTAAGGTTGTGCATAAGCAAAGGTGTCTACGACTTGAATCTTTGCGTAACAAGTAGGATTCTGATTCAACAAGAGTGACACTATTGTCTTGAACTCTATCTCAAACATCAGACCCGCTGTTGGCTGAAAATTTTGATAATATTATTAGAAGCCAAATGAATTAAACGTTTCGATCGAAATAAAGCAAAGCGTCATATTTCGAAGTAGCAGAAGCAGTGTTTCGAATAAGCATGTCAAAGCTTGGAGCTTCGAGTGGCAATTATGGGAACATATCTAAAGAAGTCTCGGAATAACAACAAGGCTGTGTCTGAGGAGTGCGTTCGAAACGGAGAAGTACCAAAGCATTTGAAATTCAAATGGAAGCGGGACATTCGAAGTTTGAAATTTATGTGCTAGAGCATTTGGAGACACGTGGAAAGAAGAAGGAGGCATTGTTATGCATGTTCTGAACGTGGCATAATCCTATAGCAAGACCGTTATGGTCGAATTAGTATAAATAGAAGTCTTAGTATTAGGATTTCGTGTGTCATATCTATTGTACTAAATACTCAGTAACATTCAAACTACCACATGGCAAGGGAAACGAATGCAAGAGCAATGTACGTATGATAGCACCATATATTTATGATTTAATGAAAACCTTTTACCATTTCCAGCACTTTCCTTTATCGTTCTGTCAAATAACATTTATAAGTTTTCTCATTTACAGTCTTTTCACTTCGAAATCTCTTCATTAAAGTTTTACATTTCAATGCTTTCTTCACATTTCAAGCACTTTACATTTCAGAAAACTGTCATATTTTCCATGCCTTTACCTTCAAGCTTTATCCTTCGAACGCCTATTTTTACTTAAAGTCATTTACAGATTTCTTGCATTAAACGCTTTCTTCATATTTTAAACCTTTTACGTTCCAGAAATCCTTTACATTAACTGTTTTTATAATTCGAAACCATTTACTTGCCTTTTATGCAATTTTACATGTCTTTACAATTAACATTTATTCATGCAACTTAGTTTCGTACACGCACATTTTGATTACATCTTTAGACCTTTGAGAGAGAAATCGAAATAAGCCAAACACCTATACAACACTCAAATATCAACCATGAATATTTGTTCGATCATGAGAGTAACCCTAATGACCAAGGAATCCTAGGATCAATCTAGTCGATCCTGTGAGTTACCAGAGGAATTGAATAACAGTCAGAAAGATTATTCGATAGTTTGGAAGACTAGCGGTTGTTTACCAGAAATCACTGGAAACACCCGCACACAACCTTTTCTTAAGGTGTATTCTAATAGCCCGTGCTTTAATGGCCCTGCACGTATATCCCAGTTTAGTGAAGGCTCTAGGAATCCTGCCTCGTAATTTCATAGGAACTGGCCTAAGTTCCACAGTCACATAGGTGAGTCTATCAAGAGTACTCCTGTAGCCTAGGTACTCCCTTATACAGAGTATAGATATCATTAAGAGTTTTTATTATCTCATCCTCTTATTACTTCAGGATTCATGCTTTACTTGCATGATCATCTCATATTACTCATAACTTGTTATTACCCATTGAACCTATTTCTTGGGATCTCCAGTCATCTAGGTCGGGTTATCATTATGAGCAACTCATTTCTTTATAGGCATTAGTCCCATCCTTTTGGATGTATTATGGACTTTCTCTCTAGCTAATCCTTTCGTCAAAGGATCTGCTAAATTTTCATCAGTGCGTATATGATCCACTCTTACAGCTCCTTTAGAGATACAGTCTCTAACAGTGTTGTGCTTTCTTCTTATTTGATGTCTTTTACCGTTATAATAACGGTTCTCAATCTTTGCAATAGCCGCGATACTATCGCAGTGGATCAACACAACTGGCATAGGTTTTTCCCATAAAGGGATCTCAGCTAGTAAGCATCTCAACCAACTTGCTTCTTCACTAGTTGTGGCTAGTGCTATCATCTCAGATTCCATTGTGGACTGAGCTAGAATAGTTTGTTTCTTTGATTTCCAAGATACAACTCCTCCATCTATGCTAAATATATAGCCACTAGTAGCTTTGGAATCATCTGACAAAGTATTCCAATCTGCATCATTGTACCCTTCTAGTACAGCAGGAAACTTATGATAATGTAGGCCGAGATCCATGGTCCTTTTGAGGTACCTCATGACTTGTTCAATAGCTTTCCAGTGCTCTTTACTCGGTCTACTCGTAAACCTGCATAACAATCCTACGACATATGCAATGTCGGGTCTAGTACAATCAGTGGCATACCTTAGACTGCCAATGATGCTCGCATACTCTGATTGTCTGACACTTTCTCCAGTGTTCTTAAATAGTTTCACACATGGATCATATGGTGTGCATGCAGGTTTACATTCAAAGTAATTATATTTCTTTAAGATCTTCTCCACATAATGTGATTGATCCAAAGAAATTCCTTGTTCGGATCTCGTGATCTTGATGCCAAGGATCATATTTGCTTCTCCGAGATCTTTCATATCAAAGTTGTTGCACAACAATGATTTCACATCATTAATGGTCTGAATGTTAGATCCAAATATGAGTAGATCGTCAACATAAATACATATGATAGTGCAAATGCGGTTCTCAGATTTATAGTAAATGCATTTGTCACTTTCATTCACTTTGTACCCACTTGATATCATTAAGTTATCAAATTTTTCATGCCATTGCTTAGGAGCTTGTTTTAGTCCATACAACGACTTATTTAACTTACAGACCTTGTTTTCTTGTCCATAGATTACAAACCCTTCTGGTTGTTCCATATATATTTCTTCTTCTAAGTCACCATTTAAAAAAGCTGTTTTTACATCCATTTGGTGTACTATTAAGTTATAAATAGCAGCTATTGAAATAAGTACCCTAATGGATGTAATTCTAGTGACAGGAGAAAAGGTGTCGAAGAAATCTATATTTTCTCTTTGTCTAAAACCCTTGGCAACAAGGCGAGCCTTGTATTTATCAATAGTTCCATCAGGTTTTAGTTTTCTTTTCAAAACCCATTTACAACCAATTGGTTTGCAACCAGGAGGCAAGTCTACTAAGTTCCAGGTCTTATTGGATTCTAGAGATTCTATCTCATCATTGATAGCCTCTTGCCATA